AAAGACAACGGTAGAACCCGCCCACAACCGAGAGCCGTCAATGGAGCGTTGCCAGACTAAATAATACATTTATTTAGTCTGGCTTTTCAGGCTAGAAGTGGATGGGAATCAACTCCTTTTCTCTATTTTTTTTCCTAACACTTTTTGTTTTTTTTACCTCTTATACATTTTTAATGCATCAATCTGATTTCTCAAATACTTTAAAACAGACAAAACTATTTTTGTTCTCTTTGGTTCTTCAGAAGGAACCACCTGCTTCAGCAAAGGGTCCAGCGTTGGCTGCAGTGAGCGGGGTTCTGGTGAGGCTGAGCGTAGCTACACTCTGCACTATCGCCAACGCTGTACCTGAACATTTCTTCATGAAAATCTTCTCTCCTTCTTCACCACGTGAGTTCTTTGCCTCCTCTTCCCTCTTCCTCCTCCTCTTCCTCCACATCGTCTTGAAGCTGTCTGTCACAAAGCAATACACCACAGGATCCAGGCAACTGTTGAGGCTGCTCAAGCTCACCGTGATGTGATAGGCAAGCACATGCCCCGCCCCTTTACCCTCCGTCATCCCTGACCCTCCGGCGTCCTTCACCTGGAAGTAAACCAGCACCTGGCGGATGTGGAAAGGTGTGAAGCAAACTGTGAAAACCACCAAGACGGCGGCCAAAAGGCGGACAGCTCGAGCCCGTCTGGCCTTGCTCTGCTGGGGCATCTGTCCGTGGTTGGAGGAGAGGAAACAGGTGACGCGGAGCGTGAATCCCACCACGGCAAGCATGGGGAGGAGGAACTCCAAAACTGTCAGGTAGAAATGGGCTGGGAGGAGCACGCAGGAGGAGCTGACGTTCAACGCTGTAGTCTGGAGAGAGAAGACAATTTCTGCCGACTTTCAGTGTTCAGTCGTAAAAGAGCCGTTTCATTAGAAACAAATTTTACTTATTACCTGAAAATGATTCATGTGTAGTAAACATTTACAACAAAACAATACGTCAGAGTCGTGATTTGTAACTTCTAGTTGTGTTTATGTAGAGTCTGCACCTGAAAGGAATATGTGACCACTACTGCAATCAGCCACATGGTGGCGCTAACACTCTTTGCTGCTCCGGTTGTCCTCCATCGATGGACGGTTCCGGACACCTGGACAACAGCGAGGTAGCGATCCACACAGATGCTGAGAGGAAAAGGAGAAACAGTTATGTGTGAAATGTATGGAAGGCTGCAACGTTTAGCACAGGGGGGAAAAAAGAAAAATGGTTTAAAGTTGAGCTGTTTTTGAAGTCTGAACAAATTTCTTATTTCTCTTGATTTATGACTCAACCTGATTAAAGTAAAATTTTGGGGGAGGCTTTTTGATTCATGAAATTTTTTTTACCCTGAAAATTTCATAAAGATTTTTTTTTATTAAAGTTTTCTTAATGACTCAAAATCTTTTAACATAGCAAATATATTTATTTAGCATTTTAGCATGCTACTTCCTGCTTATCAAGGCTACAAATGTGTAGAAAATAAAATCTCGCCCTCTGGTGGCCTTTCAAGAAACAGAAAATAAGCCCCTCCCACAACCTGTTTGCCTCTGGGATGCTTAGAATAAAAATTTTGATTTTCTTTTCTGATTTTTAAAAATAAATATATTTATGTTCAGAGTCGTGGCAATACTATTTTTTTTATTTCTACCTTTATCGTACATACTTTCACAAACAAGAAAAACAATCATTTATGAAAACTTTTGTCTTTGTCCTTAAATCTTTTTTTCATCTGGGTCTTAGGTATAAAGTCCAAAGATTAATAGATATTTGGTCAGACTTAGAAAACGGTAAAACTTTTTTTTTTTTTTTTTTGCCTTTCAGGGCTTCCGTAGACTAAAGTGAAATTCCTCCCACCTGGTCAGGAACAGGATGCTACAGTACATGTTGACAAAGTAGCTGAAGGTGTGGACGTAGGAGCAGGCCACACAGCTGCCCCCGCTGTGATACAGCGCGATGCGAGCGGGCAGCGACAGCGCCACCAGCAGGTCAGCTACGGCAAGGTTTATGGTGTAAACCACAGATGCCGAGGACTGAGTGGAGGACCCGCAGAAAACATAGAGGGCCAAACTGTTGAGGACGACCCCGACCACCAACATCAGACAGTTACAGGCCTGCGACAAAGAGGAAACGACTAGATTCACCTCATTTTAAAGGTCACCAGGTGTTTTATTCATGTGGTCTCTAATCTGAATAAATTCAACTCTAAGGAGAGAAAAGGCTTTGGCGCTTCTGTTTTAGGCAGTGGAAGTTCGTAGGAGTAGGAGGTGGTGCAGAAAACAATAAGGATACAAGTCCTGCTCATTAATATTCATGAGACGCAAATATATTGCCTCTGATTGGCTAACAGCAACGTGACTCTTCCGCTGCTGCCTTCACTGTTTTTTCTTGGGTCAAAAAATCAACAGTGATGTTTTCACTCAATAAATGACACAAGCCCAAACGTGTTCCGCCATGTTGTGGAATTGCTATTGCTAATGGTTAGCTTCTACTAACTGAGACATGCTCTGCTCTCTCCTGGCTACAAAATCAAAACCGCCTTCCCGTGGGCGGTCGCAAATCAAGGTGGGTGGGTCCATAAATGTTAATTTTCTCTGTGTCATAGAAGATACTGGCTTTGTCTATTTTCTTTATATGATATTATTTATACATTTTTAGGACACATACTATAGTATGCAATTATTTATACATTTTTAGGACACATACTGTAGTATGATATTATTTATACATTTTTAGGACACCTACTATAATATGATATTATTTATACATTTTTAGGATACATACTATAGTATGATATTATTTTTACATTTTTTGGACACATACTAAAGTATGATATTATTTATACATTTTTAGGACACATACCTTAGTATGATATTATTTATACATTTTTAGGACACATACTATAGTATGCAATTATTTTTACATTTTTTAGGAACATACTATAGTATGATATTATTTATAAATTTTGAGGACACATACTATAGTATGATATTATTTTTACATTTTTTGGACACATACTAAAGTATGATATTATTTATACATTTTTAGGACACATACTATAGTATGATATTATTTATACATTTTTAGGACACATACCTTAGTATGATATTATTTATACATTTTTAGGACACATACCTTAGTATGATATTATTTATACATTTTTAGGACACATAGTATAGTATGCAATTTTTTTTAACATTTTTTAGGACACATACTATAATATGATATTATTTATACATTTTTAGGACACATACCTTAGTATGATATTATTTATACATTTTTAGGACACATACCTTAGTATGATATTATTTATACATTTTTAGGCCACATACTATAATATGATATTATTTATACATTTTTAGGACACATACCTTAGTATGATATTATTTATACATTTTTAGGACACATACTATAATATGATATTATTTATACATTTTTAGGACACATTCTATAGTATGATATTATTTTTACATTTTTTGGACACATACTAAAGTATGATATTATTTATACATTTTTAGGACACATACTGTAGTATGATATTATTTATACATTTTTAGGACACATACTATAGTATGCAATTATTTTTACATTTTTTAGGACACATACTATAGTATGATATTATTTATACATTTTTAGGACACATACCTTAGTATGATATTATTTATACATTTTTAGGACACATACCTTAGTATGATATTATTTATACATTTTTAGGACACATACCTTAGTATGATATTATTTATACATTTTTAGGACACATACTATAATATGATATTATTTATACATTTTTAGGACACATACTGTAGTATGAAATTATTTATACATTTTTAGGACACATACTATAGTATGCAATTATTTTTACATTTTTTAGGACACATACTATAGTATGATATTATTTATACATTTTTAGGACACATACCTTAGTATGATATTATTTATACATTTTTAGGACACATACCTTAGTATGATATTATTTATACATTTTTAGGACACATACTATAATATGATATTATTTATACATTTTTAGGACACATACTATAGTATGCAATTATTTATACATTTTTAGGACACATACTGTAGTATGATATTATTTATACATTTTTAGGACACATACTATAATATGATATTATTTATACATTTTTAGGACACATACTGTAGTATGACATTATTTATACATTTTTAGGACACATACTATAGTATGATATTATTTTTACATTTTTTGGACACATACTAAAGTATGATATTATTTATACATTTTTAGGACACATACTGTAGTATGATATTATTTATACATTTTTAGGACACATACTATAGTATGCAATTTTTTTTACATTTGTTAGGACACATACTATAGTATGATATTATTTATACATTTTTAGGACACATACCTTAGTATGATATTATTTATACATTTTTAGGACACATACCTTAGTATGATATTATTTATACATTTTTAGGACACATACCTTAGTATGATATTATTTATACATTTTTAGGACACATACTATAATATGATATTATTTATACATTTTTAGGACACATACTGTAGTATGAAATTATTTATACATTTTTAGGACACATACTATAGTATGCAATTTTTTTTTACATTTTTTAGGACACATACTATAGTATGATATTATTTATACATTTTTAGGACAGATACCTTAGTATGATATTATTTATACATTTTTAGGACACATACCTTAGTATGATATTATTTATACATTTTTTAGGACACATACCTTAGTATGATATTATTTATACATTTTTAGGACACATACTATAATATGATATTATTTATACATTTTTAGGACACATACTATAGTATGCAATTATTTATACATTTTTAGGACACATACTGTAGTATGATATTATTTATACATTTTTAGGACACATACCTTAGTATGATATTATTTATACATTTTTAGGACACATACTAAAATATGATATTATTTATACATTTTTAGGACACATACTATAATATGATATTATTTATACATTTTTAGGACACATACTATAGTATGATATTATTTTTACATTTTTTGGACACATACTAAAGTATGATATTATTTATACATTTTTAGGACACATACCTTAGTATGATATTATTTATACATTTTTAGGACACATACTGTAGTATGACATTATTTATACATTTTTAGGACACATACTATAGTATGCAATTATTTTTACATTTTTTAGGACACATACCTTAGTATGATATTATTTATACATTTTTAGGACACATACCTTAGTATGATATTATTTATACATTTTTAGGACACATACTATAATATGATATTATTTATACATTTTTAGGACACATACTATAGTATGATATTATTTTTACATTTTTTGGACACATACCTCAGTATGATATTATTTATACATTTTTAGGACACATACCTTAGTATGATATTATTTATACATTTTTAGGACACATACCTTAGTGTGATATTATTTATACATTTTTAGGACACATACTATAATATGATATTATTTATACATTTTTAGGACACATACTATAGTATGATATTATTTTTACATTTTTTGGACACATACTAAAGTATGATATTATTTATACATTTTTAGGACACATACCTTAGTATGATATTATTTATACATTTTTAGGACACATACTGTAGTATGATATTATTTATACATTTTTAGGACACATACTATAGTATGATATTATTTATACATTTTTAGGACACATACCTTAGTATGATATTATTTATACATTTTTAGGACACATACCTTAGTATGATATTATTTATACATTTTTAGGACACATAGTATAGTATGCAATTTTTTTTTACATTTTTTAGGACACATACTATAATATGATATTATTAATACATTTTTAGGACACATAACTTAGTATGATATTATTTATACATTTTTAGGACACATACTATAGTATGATATTATTTATACATTTTTAGGACACATACTATAGTATGATATTATTTTTACATTTTTTGGACACATACTAAAGTATGATATTATTTATACATTTTTAGGACACATACCTTAGTATGATATTATTTATACATTTTTAGGACACATACTGTAGTATGATATTATTTATACATTTTTAGGACACATACTATAATATGATATTATTTATACATTTTTAGGACACATACCTTAGTATGATATTATTTATACATTTTTAGGACACATACTGTAGTATGACATTATTTATACATTTTCAGGACACATACTATAATATGATATTATTTATACATTTTTAGGACACATACTATAGTATGATATTATTTTTACATTTTTTGGACACATACTAAAGTATGATATTATTTATACATTTTTAGGACACATACCTTAGTATGATATTATTTATACATTTTTAGGACACATAGTATAGTATGCAAATTTTTTAACATTTTTTAGGACACATACTATAGTATGATATTATTTATACATTTTTAGGACACATACCTTAGTATGATATTATTTATACATTTTTAGGACACATACTATAATATGATATTATTTATACATTTTTAGGACACATACTGTAGTATGAAATTATTTATACATTTTTAGGACACATACTATAGTATGCAATTTTTTTACATTTTTTAGGACACATACTATAGTATGATATTATTTATACATTTTTAGGACACATACCTTAGTATGATATTATTTATACATTTTTAGGACACATACCTTAGTATGATATTATTTATACATTTTTTAGGACACATACCTTAGTATGATATTATTTATACATTTTTAGGACACATACTATAATATGATATTATTTATACATTTTTAGGACACATACTATAGTATGCAATTATTTATACATTTTTAGGACACATACTGTAGTATGATATTATTTATACATTTTTAGGACACATACTATAATATGATATTATTTATACATTTTTAGGACACATACTGTAGTATGATATTATTTATACATTTTTAGGACACATACTATAATATGATATTATTTATACATTTTTAGGACACATACTATAGTATGATATTATTTTTACATTTTTTGGACACATACTAAAGTATGATATTATTTATACATTTTTAGGACACATACCTTAGTATGATATTATTTATACATTTTTAGGACACATACTGTAGTATGACATTATTTATACAT